ATATGGGTTTTGACAAAATCCAACACCCATTTCTGGTTAAAAATAAATTAGAAAGCATAAGAATAAACTGACTTTTCCCTAACATGGCAAGTGGTATCTTTCTAAAACCAAGAACAAACATTTAATGTAATAGAGAAAGTTTGGAAGTCTTTCAAAGACGATTAGAGGTAAAGTAAGGATGCTCATTATTACTGGAAGTATTTAACATGGTGCTAGAAATGCTAGCCAAAGCAATAAGACAAGAAAAAGAAATAGAGGGACTAAAGATAGGCAAAGAGGAAACAAAACTAAAATGTGTTTTGTTTTGTTTTGTTTTTGCTAAGGATGTTCTATTTAGAGGGCCCTAAAGAATCAAGTAGAAATCAATTGAAACAGTTTATAAAATTAGCAAAAGTGCAGGATATAAAATGAATCATTGACATTTGTGTATATCATCAACACAACTTACCAGGAAGAAATAGGAAGAAAAATTCTTTCAAAATAAATTAAAAATTCATTAAAAATAACTACAAAATTCATAAAATATTTGGAAGTCAATCTACTGAGACATTCATAGGAATTATATGAATAGAAATACAAAACAGAAATAAAGACAGACTTAAATAATTGGAGAAACATTAATTGTTAATGGGCAGCCCATGCCCATTAGTCCATTTTATTATAATAAAAATTACAATACCACTTAAATTAATATACTGATTCAGGGCCATACCAATAAAAATACCAAAGGACTATTGTATAGAGCCAGAAAAAAATAATAATGAAATTCATATGGAGGAACAAAAAGTCAAGAATCTCAAGAGGGAAATAATGGAGTGGGAGTAATGGAAAATAATGAGGCCTGTTAGTAACAGATCTCAAACTATACTACAAAAATAATCATTGAAATGATTTGGTACAGGTTTAAACAAAGAGAGGTCAATCAGTGAACAGATTAGGTACACCGCATACAGCAGCAAATGAACTAGCTTAGTGTTTCATAAACCCAATGATCCCAACTATTGGGGCAAGAACTCTCTATTTGACAGAAACTGCTAGGAAAACTGGAAAGCAGTCTGGTGGAAATTAGGCATAAGACAACATCTCACAGTATATACCAAAATAATCACCAAGTAACTTATACGTAAGATATGAAGTAATAAATTAGAAGAGCACAGAAGAAATTGCCTATGATCTATGGATAGAAGAATAGTTTGTGACCAAAAAAAGGATAGAAGGGAAATTTTTGATTATATAATTTTTTTCACAAACAAAATCAATGCAGCTAAAATTAGAAGAGAAATAGATAATGATTTTTGGGGAGAGGAAATAATTTCAGCAAGTTTCTCTTACAAGAATTTCATTTCCAAGATATCTAAGGGGCTGATTTAAATTTATAAGAATAAGAGTCATTCTATGATTGGTAAATAGTCAAAGGTTATGAACAGGTAGTTTTCAAGTGAAGAAACCTAAACTATCAAGAGCCATTAAGTAAAAAATAGTCCAGATTACTAACACTTAGAGAAATACAAATTAAAGCAACTCTGAGGTTCTACTTCATACCCATTAGATTAGCAAAGATAACAAAAAAGGAAAATGACAAATATTGGAAGTGCTGCAGGAAAACAGGCCAGGCACACAATGCACAGTCGAAGGATCTGTGAATTGGTCCAGCCATTCTAGAAAGCAATTTGGAAATATTCCCTCAAAGTCACTAAACTGTGCATATCCTTTTACCCAGAAATACCATTCACTACTAGGCCTATGTCCCAGAGAGGTCAAAGAAGAAGGAAAAGAACTTATGTGTACAAGACTATTTATAGCAGCTCTTTTTGTAGTGACAAAGAACTGGAAACTGAGGAGGTGTCCATCAAATTGGTGTTTCAATATAATGTTATTGTGCTCTAAGAAATGATGAAGGGGGCAGTTTCAGAGAAACCTGGAAAGACTTGTATGAACTGATGCAGAGTGAAGTGAGCAGAATCAGGAGAACAATTTGCACAGTAGAACAATATTGTAACACAAACAAATTAGAAAGACTCAAGAACTTTGGCCTGGATACTGGGGCAAAGGTCAATGCCTTAACCAACAACAGGTCCAGAGATTTGATGATGAAGCGTTCTGACAGAGAGGCAGTAGACCCAAAGTTCAGAAGGCCATATGTAATTTTTGGACATGGCCCATGAGGGAATTTGTTTTGTTTGACTACACATTTTTGTTACAAGGATTTTTTTTCTTTTCTTTTTCTCAGTGCGAGGAAGAGAAAAACAGATTTTTATTCACAGACAAAAATACAATAAAAATTTTAAAATTGCTTTAGGTTTTATGTCAACAAAACCTATGCAGTTAAAATTAGAAGGGAAACATTTAACTGGGAAAAATCTTTGCAGTAAATTTTTCTGATAAATATCTCATATCAAAGATATATAACTGATTGATTCGAATTTATAAGAACAAGAGCTAGTCTCCAGTGCTTAAGTAATGGTGAACAGTTTTCAAAGGAAGAAATCTGAGCTATCAATCGCTATATATAAATGCTTCAGAATAAAATACAACAAAGCCAATACAATTAAAACTTCTACACATTTACTAGCTGTGTGATTCTGGACAAGTCAATTAAACTCTTCCAGCCTGTTTCCTCATCTGTAAAATGGGGATAATCCTAGCAGGGTTGTTGTGAATATCAAATGAAATAATAGATGTTGCAATGGATACATTGTTGGACCTAAAGTCAAGAAGACCTGAATTCAAATCTTGCCTAACATCTTGCTAGCAGTGAGAACCTGGTTGAATCATTCAACCTCTCTGCCTCAGTTTCCTCATCTGCAAAAAGAGATAATAATAGCACTTGCCTCACAGGCTTTTTTCAGGATCAAATAACAATATATTATGTGCTTTGCAAATTTTAAAGTGTTATATAAGTGCTAATCAATATTATAATGACAAATGTTGGAGGGACTACCGGCAAACAGGCACAATAAGGCACTACTGGTGGAAAGATGAATTGGTTCAGTCATCTGGGAAAGCAGTTTGGAACTATGTCCCCAAAGTTAGTAAACTGCAACCAAGCTATATACTACTTTGACCCAGAAATAGGACAGCAAGGCCTATTGCCCAAGGAGAGCAAAGAGGGAGAAGGACTTGTATATACGAGAATATTTATAGCAGTTTTTTTTGTAGTAGCAATAAACTGAAGGGTTGCTAATCTATTGGGGAATGCCTTAACCAATTGTGGCATATGAAAGTAATGGAATATTATTGTGTTGTAGGAAATGACTAAGTGGATAACATCAGAGAAACCTGGGAAGACCTGTGTGTTCTAACACAGAGTGAAATGGGAAGAACCAGGAGGACAATTTATAAGATAACATTATAAAGAAAAACAATTTTGAAAGACTCAAGAACTGTGATCAATGCAATGACCAGCTATGTCTCCAGAGAACTGATGGTGAGGCAGACTGCCAGCTCTTCATAAGAAACTAAAAGTAATAGTAAAAGTAATAAAAGTAATAAAGAAAGTAAAAGAAAGAAAATAATGGCAATGGCAGACCAAGTCAACGGGGGGGGGATTTGTTTATGTATATTTGGTGCAAAGGCTTGGGTTTTCTTTTTCCTTTTTTTCCCTCAAGGGGTTGGTGGCAGGGTTATGGTGGGGGGGGTGAGATAGGGTATAGGAGTGGGGAACCTATGGCCTCTAGGTCCTCAAGTGCAGTCCTTTGACCGAATCCAAACTTCGCAGAACAGATCCCCTTAATAAAAGGATTTGTTCTGTGAAACTTGGACTCAGTCAAAAGGCTGCACCCGAGGACCTAGAAGGCCACAAGAGTCCTTGAGACCACAGGTTACCACCCCTAGGTGTATTGAAAGACATGAAGGAGGGGAATGAAAAGAGGGGGGAAGGGAAGGGGAGACAAAGAGAGAGACAGAGACAAAGACAGAGACTGAGACAGAGATAGAGAGGGGGAGAGGGAAGGAGAGAGAGGAGAGAAGGGGGAAGAGGGAGGGAGGAAAGAAAGAAAGAAAGAAAGAAAGAAAGAAAGAAAGAAAGAAAGAAAGAAAGAAAGAAAGAAAGAAAGAAAGAAAGAAAGAAAGAAAGAAAGATGAGAGTAATTGAGGCATCATTTTTTAAAATATAGAGCATAGGAGGAACCAAAATGAAACAAAGAGAAGCAGAACGGCTTTGAAAACTATCGGTTGAACTTAAATGCTTAAAAACAAAAGCAAGCTATAGATAATAAGGACCAACAGTTTTATGCACAATCTTCTTTTTCTGCTCTATTTGGAAAAGACTACTTTACTTGGCGTTTGTTAAGTTCAGTATGGAAATATAATTTTTTTAAAGGAGGTAGTGAGTTCCCCATTCCTGGAGGTCTTTAGGGAGAGACTGGATGACTACAGAGAGGAGTCCTGTTCAGGCTCTGGTTGGGTGAGATGCCCATTCAGCTGTGATATCCGGTGATCTGTGACACTTCCTCCTCCCCTGTCCCCCAAATCCTACCAGGATTCCAATAGTAATCTTCCTTAGCTGTCCTCCCAACCCGGGGGTCCCAACTGCCATTTCTTCCCTTGCTTGGAGGTGGGAGTGGGGAGTCTGTTGCCTCTGCTGTCACCCAGCAGTCCTCCTCCATAACCATCTCATTACTCAGGGCTCACTAACTCTCACTTTCTCCATCACTCAGGGGTCCTCAACTCTCTTCTCCTCCCACCCCAGCCCCATTCTCTACCAGTCGGACATCTTTACTACCCTCCCTATTACCAAGTCTCCCTTCCTCTTCCACCCTGTTTCTGAGCCCCTTTGTCAAGAGCATAGCTCAATGCCTGGCAACTAGGAGGTCTTTATTCCCTCCCTTCCCATCTCTCCTCCAAACCTCTCTGGTTTCAGTGGGATGGGAGGGCAGGTTGGCAGGACTTGGGATTGGCTAGAACTCTACTGCACCAAGTCATAATGCCCCCGCCATTTGCTGGGTTCTGTGTGAGGCGTATTGTTCTGGTTGCTGGATCCAGGGCAGTAACAGGTAAGCCCGGGGTCTATACCCCACCCAGGTGGGCAAGGTTGCTAAGTGCTAGTGCTCCTTGCCCCCTACTCTGACATCTCTAGGGAAACATTGATGGTCTGTTCTGTCAAATGGGTTTCTATTCCTTTGTCTCAATACTGGAAATATGTCTGTGTTTTAGGTGCCTTGGGATGCCAGTCGCACAGATGTTATCTGCTTGAGAGAGCCTCATTCTCCATTTTCTTCTGTTTGGCCCTTCTAAGACCTTGCTGGTCCTTTCTGCAAAATGGATCGCTTTCTTTTTCTTACCCCTTGGCAGTAGAAAGGATGCTTCAGATTTTCTTCCCCACTCCCATCTGTTTTCACTCTCCTTCCTCTTCCGGTGTTTCTGAACAACTTTCTAGTTGAGTCCACATTGACTGAATGCCAGGTGTTCATATTACCATCCAAGGTCAGATTGGGGGCACAAGTGCCTTCTTGAGGGAATGATCGCTCCTGTCACCTGCCAGCCTTCACCCTTGGGTCCTCAGCATCTCTCCTCTGGACAAAGCAGTCTTCTAGGGCTACGGGGGAGCAGGCTGCCTCAGGGGCCAGACTTTCCTTCAGAAATAGGGAACCCTAGAGTTGAAGAGGTCCCAGGTCTAAGCAACTGGCTTCAGAAAACCCCTAGGTCTCGGTCTCTGCCCTCTTTCCAGCCAGTTTCCATTGATCCCATATAACCTAAAGGCATCGTGGGAAGAGCTCGGACTTGGAAATAGGAGACATTTGGGTGATTGTGGGACCTCAGTGCTTCAGTTGTCTCACCTGCCGAATGGGGGTAGTAGTCAATATTTGTAGATTCCAGTTAATTTAAAAAGGTCCTCAAGGCTCATGTAAATACAATTTTAAATACTAAATGGATCTGCAATTTTGATTCAGTACTTCTAGTGATACATATTGCAACCCTTCCTGTGTCACCCTCATCCTTATTCTCCCCTCAAGTTTTCCACGAAGTGTCCACCCAGTATGTTGAAGACCTTCCTCGATTTCTCCCAATGCCATGAGGGGAAGAGTGGAGCACTCTCGCTAACAACCTGTCATCCTTTGCACTTTCCACGGGACCTGCCCATTTTCATTTTCTGTCATAGAGTTCTCTCATATCTTTGTCAAAGAGTTTGAACAAGTGTTGTGCACTAGTCTTTCTTGTCTTTGGAGCTGATTATCGATTATATGCTGCAGCTGGCTCGCACCCACCATGCTTCTTTCCATTGCCATCTTCAGTTCATCAGAGACAGGGGGGTTCCAGGTCCTGCTGCCAGAGAGTAATAGCAATAAAATGTTTTTATTGAAAACATAGGCCTTTGCTGTTGTGAGGGGCTTGGAATCAGTCAAAGTGCTTTGTAGTTTCCTAAAAGCAATTGAGGCTTCCTCCTTCCTTCCAACTCTGTGCCCTCAGCTCATTGTCCATCTCTATTACCTGTCCCAGACAAGCGTACTATTGGACAAATTCTGTAAGGGTGTATAGTGAAGGATGGGCTGAAATTGGAGCAATAGATGGTCTTCATCCTTTTGGTCTTTCCTGTGTGGATGGAAAGGAAAAACTTCTTTGAATGATCACTGATATTTTCCAGGAGTCTCTACAATATCCAGGAACGACATGCCTTCTGTGCTGGCTTTTTTCTGTGTATCTGGTAGAGAGTAAACATGGAAGCAATGAGTGCTGCCTATCTGCCATCATGGTGGTAAATACTTTTAATGAACATACATCTCATAGTTGTGTGCCTGTATCTCACGGGGGGGAAATGAGGCCATTGACTGAGAGCTTTCTTCTCTTCTCCTCATCTCACATCACTCAGATGCCTTCCCCAACTCTCTCCTTATCTTATGTGAAGAAATGGACTTTCTCCCTGCCTTTGCTTGCTCTCTCACTCTCCCCCCCCTTCTCCCTTTCTAAGTTTTATTGGTGCCACTTAGAAGCAGGTATGTGACCTAGCAAATAGAGTGCTCGGACAGAATCAGCAAGATATGAGATCAAATCTGGCCTTAGACACTTACTAGCTATGTGACCCAGAGCAAGTCACTTAAACTTTACCTCAAGAAATATTTGTAAAATCATGACGAATGGGAAAATATGCTTAACATGAATGTATATGTAGGGCCTATATTGAATTGTACGCCTGTCTCGGGGCAGGGGAAGAAGTGGGAGGAGGAGAAAATTTAAAACTCAAAATCTTATGGAAATGAATGTTGAAAACTAAAAATAAATAATTTTTAAAAAATTTTAAAAATCTTAAAAAAAGAAATATTTGTAAAGTGCTTAGCACAATGCCCGGCACATGTTAGGTGCTTAATAAACGTTTGCTCCCTTCTCCCTTCTGTTTTCTCAACTAGACGAATGGGGATAATAATAGCACCTCCTGCCAAGGTTGTTGTGAGGATCAAACAAGATAACATTTTTAAAGAGCTGGGCACATAGTAGGTACTTAATGTTGTTCCATTCCACTTTCTCCTCAGTTTTCTTAACTATAAAATGGAGATACTAACAGCATCTACCTGCTGAAGTTATTGTGAGGACCAAATAATATTTGCTTTATATAATATTTTATATAGTATAATATGCATATATATTACTATGCTGTAATATAAAGATAATATTTGTAAGGTGCTCAGCACAGAGTAGGTGCTTAATAAATTCTTGTTCTCTTTTTTTGTTTTTATATCACCATCAATTTAGGGGTATATTGAAACTATTCACTCACTAATCTCTCCTTTGTAATCTGTCTCCCCCCACCCCAAAAAAAAAAGTTAAGCAAAACCTACTGGCAAGTCACCTTGTCTGACCGTGTATGAACATTTCATACCTATATATAGTGATAAGTGCATTTCCTCTTCTTTTTTCCAGGGTCAAGATTCATTAAAACAGTTACTTAGAGTCTAGTTTGGTCTTAGCATACTTTTCGTTTTTCATTAATGTCATTGTGTCTATTCTTTTTCTGGTTTCTGTGTACTTTTACTCTGTATCAGTTCATAGAAAGCTTCCCACATTTCTCTGAATTTCTTATGTTGTTATTTACAATGTAATAATATTCTATTACATCCACATACTATGTATTCAGCTCTTCCCTCAATTGATGAATACCCGTTTTGTTTCCAGTTTTTATCTGCTCCCAAATATTGTTATGAATGAATATGTGGTAGATATGGAACTTTTTACTGTCTTAAATGTCAATCTTTGTCAAAGAGATTGAATAAACTAATGACTCTAATATAATTGTAAATTGTTTTCCGGAATAAATGAACTAATCTGACAGCCTTTCCAATACTGATTATTTTCAACTTTTATCATCTTTGCCAATTTCCTGAGTGTGAGGCAAAACCTGAGTTTTTTAAAAATTTGCATTTATCTTATTATTATTAGTGACTTGTAGAAATCTTTCAAATGATTGTTGATAGTTCTCAATTCTTTGTAAAACTATTCGTTCACATCCTGTGACCTTTTATCTCTTGGAAAATGTCTCTTGGCCTTAAGATATTTGGGTCAGTACTAGTTAATCTCAAGTATTAGACATTTATCAGAAATATTTGATGTTAAGATTTTACCCAGTTGACTGTTTCCCTTCTTATTCTAGCTAGATTGATTTTGTTCATGCAAAAACTTTTCAATTTTATTTGAAATTATCTAGCTAGTCTTTTATGTTCATCACTATCCATCCCTTGTTTTATTAAGAATTCTTTCCATAAAACAATCTTGATATTTTACCTGAAAGCCTACAAATTGTCAAAAATGACCAAAAAATGGCAATAGTCAATTTTGGAATGATAGTTGCACTAATACATCGTTGGTGGAGCTGTGAAGTGGTGCAACCATTTTGGAAAGCAAATAAAGTGACTAATATATTTATACTCTTTGAACGAGAGACTCTATTACTGGGGTTATATCCCAAGAAAGCCATAGACAAGAAGCAAGTCTCCACATACACCAAAATATTTAGAGCAGCCCTTTTTGTGATAGCAAAGAATTAGAAACAAAGTAGATACCTATCATTTGGGGAATGGCTAAAAAATTGTGGTACATGAATGGAATGATATATTACTATGCTGTAAGAAATGATGTGTGTGATGAATTCAAGAAAACGTGGAAAGATCTATGTGAACTGATATAGAATGAAGTAAGCAAGGCCAAGAAAACAATATACACAATAACTACAACAATGTAAAAGAAAGAAAAGCTGCACTTCAAAAAAAATCAAAAGTAAATGTAACAAATTAAAAAGATCAAGGAGGACTCAAATGAAGAGATGTGAGAGGACACCCCACACCCACCTCTTCATGGAGGTGTGAAGTCAACCACAGACGTAACACATTGCATGTGTTTTCAGACTTTCTCAATGTATTGATCAGTTATGCCGATCTTTTTTTCTTCCTTAAAATATACTATTTGCGGGGCAGCTAAGTGACACAGTGGATAGAGCACCGGACCTGAAGTCAGGAGGACCTGAGTTCAAATCCGGCCTCAGACCAAACACTTGACACTTACCAGCTGTGTGATCCTGGGCAAGTCACTTAACCCCAATTGCCTAAAAAAAAAATACTATTTGATGAATGGGATGGCTCTCTGGGAGGAGGAGAGGGAGAGAAACTTGGGAAAACTATGATGATGTAAGAAACAAGATATCAATAAACACTTATTTTTAAAAAATCTTTCCACCCCCATCCCCTCAATTATAGTTATAAAATGATTCCTTCCATTCTCTATTTTTAAAAAAATGATGCGACCTTTTATTTTTAGGTCAAATATTCATTTTGAACTTACTGTGGTATCTAGTGTAAGTTGTTAGTCTAAACCCATTTTCTGCCAGCTTGCTTTTCATTTTTTCCAGTTCTTGATAAACAGGGAGAATGTTCCTAAGTAGTTCATGTTCACAAGTTGATCAAACACTGGGCTACTGTGTTTAATTTTTAAAATTTCTTTTTTGTCTTAGTCTGTTCTATTGATCTATTTTTTCTCCTTTAAACTGGCAAAAGTTTCGATGAATACAGCTTTATAGTTTGAGATCTGGAAGCACTAGACCTCTTTCATTACCACTTTTTTTTTTATCATTTCCCTTGAGATACTAAAACCTTTTTATTCCTCCAAATAAATTTTAAAAAATATTTTGTCTAGTTCTATAAAGTGTGATTGGTGTGTGTTGTCTGACAGGCCTGACTCAGGCCAGTCTGCTGGTTTGAGTTCAGAATTGGAATAAAATGTGACCTTCGTAGACTATTTGATGGTTAACAAGAAGAGGCTTAGCTATAGCATGGAAAGGATATTCAACAATAATGCAGTTTTAATTAACTTGGATATAAGCTTCGCTGCTACTGTGTGAGCCACACTTCATCTGCCTGTTAGGAGATAGTATCAAACCTGAGAGAAGAGCTCCAAACTCTTCATAAATTTTTCCACTTGGGCCACCAGGAAGCTACATCAATAGCCAGAGCCTTAGTCCCCTGGGCCAATTCAAGGACAATCTCACTATCTCATTAGGGAAAAACTAGTCTAGCCTAGATGGCAGACTTCTTCTTCTTTTTTTTTTTTTTTGGTTAGGCAATTGGGGTTAAGTGACTTGCCCAGAGTCACACAGCTAGTAAGTGTCAAGTGTCTGAGGCCGGATTTGAACTCAGGTCTTCCTGATTCCAGGGCCGGTACTCTATTCACTGCACCACCTAGCAGCTCCTAAATGGCAAGACTTCTACCATAATATGACACTAAATCTGTAAATTAATTAGATAGCACTATCATTTTATCATATTGGTACATCCCAGTCTGGAACAATGAACAACTCTGCAATTACTTAATTCTTCCTTTTTTTTCAAAAGTAACAAGACATCTTAGGTATTCTCAATGAGGTATCAGTAAGCATGTCCCAATTCTTCATAAGTAGATGCTTTCAAAAGCATCCTATAATCTTGTCAAGTTGAACTCATTAAGGAAACTCCTTTATTTAACCCACTACAGAATAATTTTTGTAGCCCAAGTATTGTTCCTTAAATGTTTGGTAGAATTCATTTAGAAATCTATATAGACCAGGGTATTTTTTTCACTTTGTTTGGTTTTTTCTTTCTGAGACTGAGTTGCTTAAATTTCCATTTCTTGTTTTGTTATTTGGATATTTTCTATTTTGTTTTGCTAGCATATACACTATATAGTAATTTCTGATTATTCTTATTATTTCTTCTCTCTGTTCATTGCAAATTTACCTTTTTGTGTGTGTTTTTTTAATTTATTTTGTTTTCCTCCCTTTTTTAGACCAAGTTAACTTAAGCTTTATTGATATTTTTAGCCTTTTAAAAATATTCTAGTTTTGTCATTTCCAGAGTATTTTTGTTTTCTATTATATCTACTCCAATTTTCAACATTTCTTCTAATATGCATCTTGAGTTTATTATTTTGTTGATTTTCTAGTTTTTAAAAAATATATGTACAATTCACTAACTCTGTTTTTTCCACTTGTTAATTTTTTTTCAGAAATACAGTTTTTCTTCTGAGGACTGACTTAACTAGATCTCCAATATGTGGGTATGTTGTCACATTGTTATCATTCTTTTTCACATAGTTTCAATTGTTTCTATTATTTGTTCTTTGACCACTTATTCAGGATAGTGTTCCTTAGTCTCCTTTTAGATCTGTATTTTTAAAATTGGATTCCTTTTCTTTTTTTTTAAATTAATTCATTTATTTTTAGTGGATTCCTTTTTAAATTCTATTTTCATTGCATTATAAAATATAAAAGAAGTTTAATATTTCTGCCTTTTACATTTTCGTAAATGTACTTACTAGATGATGCTAAGAAATATATATTCATATGCATATAATGTACATTCCACAATGTTCTCATTCAGAAGACTCCTGAAATCTTTCAAATATAATGTTTTCAATCGTCTGCTCAGTTCTATATTTTACTGGTTTATCTTTCTGTTAGATGTGTACAGTTTTGATAAAGGAACATTGATGTCTTCTACAATTATTGTTACTATTAATTTTCTTTTTTTTTCGATTTGGCTAGCTTTTTCCTTATGAATTTGTCATTTCATATATGTATATATATAAGTTTAATAATATTATTTCATTGCTAAGATGCATTTAAGCATAAAGTTGTTTCCTTTATCTGACTTACCATTGTGAATTTTTATTTATGATTGTAATAATTGCTTTTTTTCAATCACCTAATGCATACTAAATTTTGTTCTAATTCTTCAATTTCATTCTCTATATCTCTTTATTTTCAATGAATTTATTTAGTGAGTACGCTCTGGTTCATTCTCCAAGAGCCTGACCAGCTATATTTCCCCCTTGGGGTTCTAGGCTATCCTGAGAGAGTGATAAGTTATCTTTTCTCTAACTCCCAACTTAAGCCTCTACCATCTGTGTTCTCCCCAGTGTAAGGAGCCTGTGACTAGGACCCAGTTTCATTTAACCAGTTAACACCAAATAGTTTCACCAAAGGAATATTTACTTTGAAGATATAGTGGAAACAAAGAACAAACAAGCCATACCTCTGAGCCACTTAGGATACCTCCCCTATACCATCTCCATTTCTGGGGAAGTAGTTTTAATGCTTAGTTCACTTTTTTTTTTAAACTTTGGGGTTAAGTGACTTGCCCAGGGTCACACAGTTAGTAAGTGTCTGAGGTCAAACTTGACCTCAGGTCCTCCTGAGTCCAGGGCCAGTGCTCTATCCATTGCGCCACCTAGCTGCCCCAGCTTGGTTCACTTTTGGCATAGCACAAGCTAAGTTCATGGCCAGTTGTGGCATGACTGTCAGATGAGTCCTTGTCTCAACTTCTGCTGGCCTGGGGTTTTTGAGGTCACTCTTTGCTACTCTGGGCATTGACGCTACAGGACTACAGGATACTACAGTGCCCATCTGACCTTTCAAAACTTTCAAGGTCTTAGAGGCTCCATCCTGTTCATCTAGATCAGAAAAGGACAGATACAGAGTCCAAGGACCCAGGCCCCTTCAGGGGGCTCAGAAGCCTCTCTCCTTACTGAATTGTCTCTTGCCAGATGTTGAAGCTTATGGGCCCTTTTTAATTCATCTATAGCTAATCAATGAGCCTTCTCTTTAACGTGTGATTAACCAACCAGAACCGGTTGCAGAATGTCCATGCATGCTCCACCACTTCTCTGCACCTCATTCCATCTCATGACATTTCTCCCAGAAATAGGCTCCCTGCCCTCCTCCACATAGAGAAACGCCATCTGACATGCGCTGAGCACGCTCCAGACACATCCCCATTACACTTGTACATAGTAAATTATTGAGCTTAGAAAACAAACAACATTCTGACATTGTCTATCTATCTATCTATCTATCTATCTATCTATCTATCTATCTATCTATCTGTTTGTTTATTACCAGATAAACATTTAGTAAGTGCCTGTTATGTGTCAGACCCTATGCAAGGCTCTGTGGATACAAATAAGAAAAAGGAAAGACAGTGTCTATCCCCAAGGAGCTTACAATCTGATGGGAGGCGGGAATAATACAGGCAGACCTCCTTTTGTTGTGCTTTGCTTTATTGAGCTTTGCAGATAATGTGTGCAGGTTTTTATGGTTTTGGGTTTTTTTGTTACAATTGAAGGTTTGTGGCAACCCTGTGTTAAGCAAGTCTATGGGAGCCATTTTTCCAACAGCATTTGCCCACTTTGTGCCACTGTGTCACATTTTGATCGTCTCACACTATTTCAGACTTTTCCAGTACTATTATTATTATATCTGTTATGATGATTTGTGATTGGTGATTTTTTATGTTACTACTGTGATTGTTTTGGAGTGCCATGAACCATGCCCATATAAGACAGTGAATGGATAAAGATAATGTGTGGATAAAGGGATAAATGTGTGCATTCTAACTGCTCCACCAACCTGCCGTTCCCCATTTCTCTCCCTCTCGTCGGGCCTCCCTATTCCCTGAGACACAACAATATTGAAGAATATTCTATAAACTTAGTTGACAAAGCAGTGGCAGGGTTTGAGAGAATTGACTCCAGTTTAGAAAAAAGTTCCACTGTCGGCAAGTACTATCGTCGCCTGTCACAGAGAAATCTTTCATGAAGTGAAGAGTCAGGCGATACGGCAAACCTCATTTTTGTCTCAGTTTAAGAAATTGCCACAGCCACCCCAACCTTCAGCAACCACCACCCTGCTCAGTCAGCAGCCATCAACATCAGGGCAAGAACTTCCACCAGCAAGAAGTTTACAACTTGCCAAAGGCTCAGATGATGTTTAGACTTTTTTTTTTTTAGCAATAAAGTAATTGTACATTGATCTTTTTTTTGTTCATAATACTATTGCACACTGAATAGACCACAGTATAGCCTAAACCTAACTTTTATACGCACTAGAAAACCAAAAAATGTGTGTGACTTGCTTTATTGTGATATTTGTTTTATTGAGATGGTCTGGAACTGAACCCACAATATCTCGTACAGAAAAGGAAGCTGAAAGGGGGGGAGGAGTCCCAGAGGGTGCCCAGGGAAGATGATGGTGTAGAAGACAAGCAGGTGGCACATAAAGAGATGGCTGCTATTTTGAGGGAGGATACAGAAGGAGTTTTTTCTCCATTCTCCAGCCCTCTAAACAGAGGCAGAAGTAACTGAGGGGGACTGATGAGGTCTGGGTAACAAAAATGAAGCAACCTCAGTGATGATGAGTTTCCTGGTAATGAGATTATCTGGTGATAAATTTGTCTTGGACGGGCTGGGTGAAGATGATGCAAACAGAGGGGATGGTGACAAATCAATCAATTTAATTGGAGAGTTTAATCCATTGACATTTGAGGCTTTCTTATTGTCAGTCAACTTGCGTTTATTAAGTGCTCATTATGTACCAGGCACAGGGCTAAACCCTAGGGATATAAAGAAAGGCTCCTCCCAAAACCCAAAATCTAAAATCACTTCTTGTCCTCAAGGAATGTACATTCTAATGCAGACTACAAGGAAATAACAATGTAAATGTGTTAACAGCATAAATAGAAGATACTCTCATAATAAAAGAATGGGAGTGGGGTGGGGCGGAGGGAGGTATGGGGGGGGGAGTGAGGTCTCCTGCAGGACATGGGATTTGAGCTGAGTCTTGAAGGAAGCCAAGGAAGTTAGGAGACAGAGGTGAGGAGGGAGAGAGCTTCAGGCATGAGTCTCAGCCAGTAGAGATATAGAGAGTCGGGAGTATTGTATACGTGTATAGCACGTAGGCCAACATGGCTTCATTGTAGAGTACGTGGATAGGAAAAATACATAAGAAGACAAGATAGGTAGATTGAGACTAGGTTTTGAAGGATTTTAAATGCCAAACAAAGGAGTTTATATTTCATTCTAGAGGTAATTGGGACATTCTGGTGTTTACTGAGTGGGGAGAGGAGGATGTAGCACAATTAAACCTATGCCTTAGGAAAGGCATCTTGCTGCCCATGTGGAGGGTGGACTGGAGAGTGGGAACAAACTTGAGGTAGAAAGATCTACTAGGAAGTGATTACAATAGTCCAGGCAAGAGGTGATGAGGAACTAAACTACATGACTTTAGAGGAGATGGTAAAACACGCTTCTTGCCTCTTGGCAGAGAGCTGTCATACTATAGGTACAAGAATGAGGCCTAGGGGCAGCTAGGTGGTACCCTGGATAGAGCTCCGGCCTTGGAGTCAGGAGGACCTGAGTTCAAATCTGGCCTCAGACACACAACACAGGACACTTACTAGCTGTGTGACCCTGGGCAAGTCACCTAACCCCAATTGCCTCACCAAAAAGAAAAAAAAATGAAGCCTACATTTCATGTGACTAATGTGCTGATTTGTTTTTTATGATCGTATTTATTTATTACAAAGAAAGATTCTGCTGGAAATGATAGTAAGTTGCTGAAAAATGACACTGTTGTATAAAAAAAGAACATCACAAAAATATTTAAAAGAAAAGGAAGGCCATCCATCATGAGCTCCGTTTTCTTGCCCATTCCAAACCTTAAACTCTCAGCTCTGTCACTTACTATTTGTATGACTGTATGCAGGTTACTTTACCTTTCTGCGACTCAGTTTCCTCATTTGTAAGATGAAGGGATTGGATTAGACGACCTCTAAGATCCCTTCCAGTTCTATGGTCTGTTCTCAAATCCTCTTCGTCATTCTCCATCTTCTCCTGTTCTCTAGTCTGATGAAAAGATGGATCTTCTTGTCAAGGCTAACATGTCCACTCACCGTCTTACTCATATCCCCTACTCTCTCCTCTGGAAGTTTTCCTCTTGATCATTCATTTTCAGTCTCACCTTATCCCTTAACTCCTTCTCCAACCCTTACAAACATGCCTGGGTCTTCCTAACCCTTAAAAAAATCTTTATTTGATTCTGCCACATATCATCTTCTTTCTCCCTTTTATATCCAAACTCTGAAAAAGGGTGGGTTACCCTCCTTGGCTCTTTTTCCTCACCTCCTGTTACTAACTTCTTGTAATCCCCTTACAATCTGGCTTCTGAATCTGCCGCTTGCTGGAATGACTGCCTTCGAGGACTACCAGTGATCTTTTAACTG